GCTGGCCTGAATTTGTAATCCTCCTGCCTCAGCCTCTCAAGTAGCTGGGGTTCCAGGCACACGCCAGCACACTCTGCAGTCTGAGTTTTGGTAGGTAATCTAGCTCTCTGAGGCTTAGAAACAAAGTGGGCTTCATCTTGCAGCATGGCCTGTTTCAGCCCCTCACTCAGCACCCACATTGCACGTTGTAGGGGCACCAGGTCTGTCTGGGTGCCTCAGTCTGTGCCACAGGCACATTGCTCTCTCCCTTTCTTCCTGTCTTGGGTTTTTCAGTTCTTGGCTCCAGTCAGTCTTTTCTGCCCCTTCCCACAGTCCCACCCCACACATACATTTTCTGTACCCATAGCAGCCCTGTGAGCCAAGTGCACCAGCTCTCCTATGTCTCTGACAGGCCGGGGATGGGCACAGTGCCCGTGCTGGCCCAGCAGGTTGCTCCTGAAAGCCACCTCAGGTGTGTGGGTGGCCTGCCTGTTGAGGTGTGGGCTGCATCCACTGCATGTCACTGGCTTGCCCTGGCCCAGGCTTCAGCTGCTATCAGGAACCCCCACCATCAACCCACTTATCTCCTCTCAGGTGTCCCCAGGTGTCATTGCCAACCCCTTCGCAGCAGGAATTGGCCACCGGAACAGTCTGGAAAGCATTTCGTCCATCGACTGGGAGCTAAGTCCTGAGGGCCCAGGCAAGGTCAGAACTAATTGTAGCTGGCAGCTCTGGGCCTAGAGCCTGAGGTGTTGGGTTCTGATCAAGTCTGCTTTGCTTGCAGGAAAAGGAGCTGCCTATTCAGACCCTGCCTGGGGGGCCTGAGGCTGCAGAGGCCACAGTGAGTCGCACACAGCCTGGTTAGAGCCCTGGCTGTGCCCTTCCCTTGGAGCACTTGAGGAAAAACATGTCCCTGGCACACAAAGCCCCTGCTAGCATTGTGTCTGCTCTGCCCCACAGGTTCAGAGTCCAGAGCCCCTGAAACTGGACTACCGTGCCCTAGCTGCTGTCCCCAACACTGGCAGCATGCACAGGGTGAGTGTCCACTGTGTACGGTGTTGTCCTCCCCACCCCACCTATCTGTTCACGTGCCTGTTGGTCTCTTCTTCAACTTAAATGCTTCCCTTCACCTGGGGAGCCCACTGTCAGCCAGACCAGTGCCGTGCCAACCATGACGGGAACTTTGTTTGGGGGAGGGGGGCACCTTAGCCCTGCAGTCGCTGTGTGGGAGCTCAAGCTCCTAACCTGGTAATATCAAGTGCCTTTAACTCTCGCCCTTAACTGTGGAAGGCAATGCTGTGGTCCCGTTTCTTAGCCAAGAGCCACGGGATAGAGCCACGGGATAGAGGGAGTCCTTTGAACGTCCTCATCCTCTCCGAAAGCTGGGCATGGGGGTTGCTAAGCTCAGCCTGTGGCAGGCAGAGGCTCTTGAGGGTTTATAGCACCTGGAGGCTATAGAAGCATCCAGGGTTCCTGGTGGCACTGGTGTGCATGAGTCACCAGGGCAGTGGTTGTGCAGGGCCGTGGAAGAGCTTGGGGTGAGCCTCGCTCAAGAGCAGTTGGAGGCGGGGGAGGAGAAGAGAGAAGGGAAGAAAAGAAAAAAAAGCAGTTGTGGCTCTGGGTCAGGCAGGCAGTTCCCATTCCTTCCCAAAGTTGTGCCTAGTCAATCCCTGGGAGGCCTGCAGGACAGGAGTGCTGAGTGGGGGTTGCCCAAGCAGTGGGGGAACTGGAGGGCTAGGGGCCTGGAGGCTGAGGGAGCCCAGGGCTTTTGTACATGGACCCTCCTCTGCCACAAACAACCCCAAGGAGGAAGCCCTCAGGTGAGACAGAGGAACACAGCACCCTCTAATAGAAGAGGGGAACAGCTATAGAGGATTGGCACCTGTGCTGCCCCACCACTGCCGGTTCCTCCTTGGGGGATGCAACCCCGCCCAGTCCTCCCCCTACTCACTGTCTTGCTTTTCCAGGTAGCATCTGGGCCAACTGGAGGGAAGATGACCTCGGCCCCCTGCTCCCCCAGTGGCCAGCAGGTGAGCATTCCCATCATAGGTGTCCAGAGGGCCTGCAGTTGAGTGCTCCTGTGCAGAGTCCCTAGGAAGGTGCTGTCAGGAGACCATGCTTCCCCACTGGGGACACCTTGCTGATCAGGACTGACCTCTGAGGGGAGAATGCAGATCTTAGGCTGTGTGCCTAGAGGGGCTTAGATAGCCCCTCGGTCCCTCACACTAGTGTCCTAGCCCTACCTGCTGCATGGGGAGGGCTAGGTGATAGGCACCTCTTCTGTACACTGCAGTGTGGGGTGCATACAAGGGCTCCCCCAGAGTCTAGCTCCCAGCCTCAGCCTCTCAAAGACAGAGGCCTTTGATGAGTGCCTGCCTGACCCCTGCTACCCATCTTGGCGCTCTCTCTCTCTCTCTCTTCTCTCCTCTCTCCTCTCCTCTCTCTCTCTCTCCTCTCTCTCTCTCTGTTCTCTCTCTCTCTCTTCTCTCTCTTCTCTCTTCTCTCTTCTCTCTTCTCTCCCTCCTTCCTCCCATCCCTTCCACCCTATTCCTGGACCTCTGGCCCTCAACCCTGCCCTTTGCAGACAAAACCAGGGGTGATCCAGCCATTGGCTCAGGCCTGGCCAAGGGGCTCCCCTGCTCCTAGGGGCAGAGGTAGTCCCTGCTGTGTAAGTGCCCAGTCCCACAAGGTGGGGGATGGGGGCAAAGCTTTCTTCCTGGGCAAGATGGAGGCTGGGGGTTGGAAATTGGTATGGACAGCTGGTGGCTGGGTGGGTGCCTACAGCTAGGACAGCTGCCCTAGTCCAGCTCATGGGACATCTGTCCCCCAGCCACCCTCCCCAGATGAACTGCCGGCCAATGTGAAGCAGGCCTACAGGGCCTTTGCAGCAGTGCCCGCTGCCCACCCTCCTGAGGATGGTGCTACCCAGGTGTGTAAAGAGCAGTGCTCTTCTGCCATGCATGTGCTGTGGGTGCGTGCCCCAGCTGGTGCCCCAGGGGAATACCTTCCAGGTCTCAAGGCCCTCTCTTCCCCGCAGCACCCTTCACCAGGCCCAGTGGCCTCCCCTGAGCAGCTGTCATTCCGTGAGCGGCAGAAGTACTTTGAGCTGGAGGTGCGGGTGCCACAGGCTGAGGGCCCCCCAAAACGCGTTTCTCTAGTGGGTGCTGATGACCTTCGCAAGATGCAGGAGGAGGAAGGTGAGGACGGCAGCAGTTGGAAGGGCCCAGGTGTGGCTACCTAGCCCAGCGTAGCCAGCGCTGACCAGCCCATCTCCCGCAGCCCGCAAGCTGCAGCAGAAGAGGGCACAGTTGCTACGGGAGGAGGAAGCTGCAGCCTCTGGGCCCTGTATGGGCCTTGCCCTAGATGGGGATGCCCTGGAAGAGGAGCAGCAGGAGGACGACCCACCCTGGGCTGGCCCAAGCCCTGCAGGAGGGTGAGAGCAGCACGACCCCCCCCAGCCTTGCTCGGTGTGGACTCTTGCCTGCAACAAGCCTTGTGCTTTTCCCCAGGTCCAGCCCAGCATCACCCCCACCCATGGTGGGTGGTGCCCCCGTGCGGACAGCCAAAGCTGAAAGGCGCCATCAGGAGAGGCTGCGCATGCAGAGCCCAGAGCTGCCTGTACCAGAACGGGCCCTGTCCCCTGCAGAGCGCCGGGCCCTAGAAGCCGAGAAGCGGGCACTATGGAGGGCAGCTAGGTGAGCCCGGGTCCTCCCCCGCCTCCCCACCACATGGAGGGCCCCACTTTGCCCACTCACTGCTTCCTGCAGAATGAAGTCTCTGGAGCAGGATGCCCTTCGAGCACAGATGGTTCTCAGCAAGTCCCAAGAAGGCCGGAGCAAGCGAGGGCCCCTAGAGCGTCTAGCTGAAGCCCCATCCCCTGCTCCCACTCCATCCCCCACCCCCTTGGAAGGTACGTGTGTCTGGGGACCGGGAAGGGCTCAGCCTGCCGAGTAGGCCTCTCTCAACACCAGCTTCTTGTTCCTGCAGACCTTAGCCTCCAGACCAGCACCTCGCCTGGACGCCTGGTGAGGAGCCAGAGGCTGGCACTTTCCCCTATACTCCTTTGGAGCAGGGGAGGGGTCTAGTCTGCCCCCACCCACTATCCTCACTTCTCCCTCGCACTGTCTCCTTCTTCTCCCCTCACGCTGTCCTTTCAAGCCTTTGTCTGGAAAGAAGTTTGACTACAGGGCATTTGCCGCCCTCCCTTCTTCCAGGCCTGTCTATGACATCCAGGTACTGGTGCCGCCAGGCCTTTCTTATGCATGAACATGCGCATGGCCCAGTTACAGCTCCTGTACCACCCTTCTGGCCACCCCTTTTCTGTCTGTTTTGTGCCCCATCCCAGCTCTCCCCTGACTCCACTCAGCTCTGTGAGCTTCAGAGCTTGGGAGCCAGCCAAGTCCATGTGGGTGTTTCGAGGCAGGTCTGGGATCGGCCCTGACCAGTCCTTCTCCTTATCACAGTCACCAGACTTTGTGGAGGAGCTGAGATCCTTGGAACCATCTCCCAGCCCTGGTGAGTTGGTGTCTAGTTGGGGATGAGCTCCTCTGTTCCTTGGCCATCCTGGGCTCATGGTGTCCGTGTCCCTATCCCCCACATAGGCCCACAAGAGGAGGATGGAGAGGTGGCCCTGGTGCTCCTGGGAAGGCCCTCACCAGGTTCTGTGGGCCCTGAAGACATGACATTGTGCAGCAGCCGCCGAGCCATGCGGCCTGGGCGTCGTGGCCTGGGCCCTGTGCCCTCCTAGGGAGCAGTGCCTCCCCAGACTTGGGGTGGGGGCGCTGCCAGCTCCAATACTGCCCTTGCCCTGAGTCTTTTAACCTGGGTGTTAGCATTTTGAAGAGACCCCTCAGGAGTTCTGGCCTCTAACTCCCACTCCCTCCTCAAGCCAGGATCTCTTGGCAAGACTGTAACTAGTGATGTTTGTACAACCAAAGACTCTATTTTGTGGTTTAAGGAGAATAAAGTTGACTACATTTTACTCGTGTCTGTCCATCCATGCATCAGGCCCACCGGGCTGGCTCCCAGTCTGTGGCTTTCCCCTCAGGGCTCCCCCACAGGGCCCTGTGAGCCAGTGTCCAGCAGTCAGTGGGTGCTTTATTGGGAGAAGCACTAGAGACCTCTACTGGGGAGCTGCACACGCACAGGGAGCAGCACTTGCAGTTGCTCAGTTGGTGGCCACTGGATCTGGGTGACGAAGAAGAGGCGGAAGTGTTCCAGGCGCGCCTCCTGGAACTGAGCAGGATCGTACTCTGCCCCATCAGTGGGCCGCAGCAGTGACAAGTACCCCTCTTGCTCCAGCAGTCTACGGCTCAGCAGTGCCTGTGCCAGGCCTGGCTGCACAGCATCCAGCTGCCGCTGTACCACGGGAAACAGGTCCACTTCTCGGAAGTCAAACACCAGTGGCTTCCCATACCTGTGGGCACTGGTGCTGAGCATGTGGTGGACCTGGGAGCCCTGTCTGCCCAGCACCCTGCTCATCCCACCTGAGCGCCCCCAGCAGTGCCAGCCGGATAGTCTCAGGCCTCAGGTGCTCTGGATTCATGGTATCTATGTAGTTGGTGTCCTGGTAGCGCAGGAAGGTAGCTGCCTGGCCTGAAGGATCTATGACAAGAGGCCACCTGGGGGTGGCCACCAGGTTGGTCACCCATGGGTGCAGCCATCCCAGACTCCCCCAGCCCAACCTGAGTGCTGACTGACCTGCCATCAGCACTAATGCGGTGGCCCACATCCTTCATCAGCACATCGTGGAGTTCAGTGACCTGGCACTTCAGCCCTGGAGCCTCCTCCTCATCTATGAGGATGTTGGGGTGATGCCTGAGAGAGGTCCAAATCCAGACCTCTCCCTGGGCCTTACCACCCCCAACAAGCTCCACCCACCCTCCTGGCTCTGCTCGCGCAGCTCCAGCCGAGCCATGGCCAACATCTCCTCAGCTTTCTGTGCCTCCTGCCGCAACTTGTCCACGTGGGTCTCTGTATCCTTGATGGCCTGATGGAGAATCCACCCTGATTGTCACCTTGATTTGACCTCCTCAGCTCAGAGCCACTGCCTTAGACTTCACCCACTTCCCAGTGGTCTAGGTACTGGCCGCAAATTCCAGGGCAAAAATGCCAGCAACACTGGTGGGGGAGGCCCTAGGCTGGGGCAGAGCGAGGAGAGTACAGGAGGCAGGGCACAGCGCAGGGTAGCCATACCTGCAGTGTGAGCTCAGACTTGCCCGGGCACTTCCGCTGGCACCTGTCATGCTCCGAGATCCTCCGATGCAGCTCACAGTAGGCCTGCTGTAGCTGGGGGCGATGCTAACATGCTAACATCTGCCCACTTTGGGGGGCAACATGGCCCCTCTGCCCCTCCACTGTTCCTCCCTGCTTACCACCTTGTGGCATTGCTGCTGCTCCCTGGCCAGCCGCTGCACTCTGAGGGCCAAGCTGCAAGGGAGGGAAGGGCAGTCAAAGGACACCTGCCCCACTGCCCAGCAGCACCCCTCTGCCCCAGCACACACCGCTTAGCCGCTGCGGCCTGCTGCTGCTGGGCCTCCTGAGCGCGGCGCTGCCACTCAGCCTCCATGTTCCGCAGCATGGCCTCAGTAAGGCTCAGGTCCCAGGACTGCAGCACACTCGCCACTGCATTCAGGGGAGCCACCTAGGGACAGGAGCATATGTACAGTGAGGGTTCTGCTCAACCTAGGAAGGAGGTACTTTCTTATTTTAAAGCAGAGGTCGTGGTGGTCCAGAAAGGTGACAGTGCCAACGGTCAACCCCTGATGGGCATGTGATACAACTGTCCCCAAAACTAAGACTTGGGAAGGGCCTCCGGGACTCCCTGCCCAAATCCAAGAAGGCCCATGTCCTAGTAGGACCACCCTATATCCTGCTGTAGCCCCGTGGAGTCCCCACCTCCATTTGCTGTCCAGTGAAGTGCACTCCGGAGGCCTGGCCTTCCCCTGCGGTCCCCTTCAGGACAAGCTCACACCCACTCCAGGCTTTCCCACGCAGCTCCCCAGGAGCTGTAGGGATACAGCCTGGGACTCAGAGCCACTCATTCCTGTGCAGGGCTCTCCCAAGTCTGTGGAGCAGACTGATGCTCATGGGGCACAAGTCTCCCTTACAGTGACCAATCCCAGCCTCACCCTTGCCTCGCCCAGGCAAGAAGCTGTTAATGAATGACTATCTCTGAGTCCTGTGAGGTGGCTGCTGTCCAGAGGGGGTGTGTGGCCAGCTGCCTACTAGGAGAGGTGAGGAGGTAGGCTGTGAACAACAGAAGAGTCAAATACACACAACCCTGGCAGCCAAAGATGCAGGGGCAGCCAGGCATGGTGGCACACACCTAATTCCAGCACTCAAGGGGCTGAAGCAGGAGGATTGCCATGAGTTTTAGGCCAGCCTGAACTGCAAGACCCTGTCTCAAAAATAAAATAAAAAAA